CCTTTCAGAATCTCTGAAGTGTCTGGACTTTCTATGTGTTTCATACACACCCACCAACATGGCTAAAATGAGAAAGTCAGAAAATACTAATTGTTTGGTGAGGCTGAGGAGCAACCACGCTCTCTTCCACGGCTGGCATGAGTGTCGGGTGTGCACTCCATTTGGGAAACTCTTGGTCAGTATCCACAAAAAGTGGGGAAATTACTAATTGTTTGGTGAGGCTGAGGAGCAACCACGCTCTCTTCCACGGCTGGCATGAGTGTCAGGTGTGCACTCCATTTGGGAAACTCTTGGTCAGTATCCACAAAAAGTGGGGAAATCATCTGTTACGTCGAATTGATGCATACGGTGGAGAAATACCCAACGGAGATGCTTGCATGAGTTCCCCAAAAGACATTTACATGAACGTACATGGAAACATTATTCATCATCTCCTAAAACCGTAACTACCCAAACCTTCAACAACAGTAGAATGTGTGAACAAGCTCCAGGATATTTCAACAGCTATATGCTATTCCCAAGGGAATTGATCACTAAAAATACACAACGGTATGTGCAAATCTCACAAAATATAGAGTAAATCAAGCCAGACACAAAAGGAATCCTGATTTCCTTAATTTGCAAGGGGGCAGTGGTTACCTTGGGGGTGAAGCTCATGGCTGAAGGGACCCTGAGGAGACTTTCTGGGTGCTGGGTTCCAGTGACATATTTTTTTTTTTTTTCAAAATAGGTGATCATTAGACTGTCTGAAAATTCATTGCAGTTAACAGTTGTGAAAGATTTTTTGAAATACACATAATATTTCAATTAAAAGTTTTAGAAAGGAATAAAACCCAGTATGTTTTAACATGTTATGAAAATCTCAGCAGTGGTATATAGTTGCATACAGGGTGTGAGTGATCTCTCACAGATCCAAAATCACACAGCACACAACTTTGGCTAGCTGTCTTCACAGCATCACAAAGCCCTAGGTTGCTGCAGGAGCTTCCTAATGTTCACCCATGTCCAGGACGACCCCCGAAGTAACATTGGCAAATACTCACCCGTGAGTGGTCCTCAAGATATGGGGAGGAGGGTTTCCTCAGCACATGAGGAACATAAATCTTGAAGAATTTTACAAAGTACACATTGGATTTTCTTTCTTTGTGAATTCTTCTATCCACCTGTTAGACTTCTCTGGTTTTAATTAAGCATTTTATGTTCTCTCTTCTTTTAGCATATCAATTATACTTCTTACAATTTTTTCAATGGTTTCCCTAAAGTTTATGATATCAATTTTCAACTAACCTAAGTTCATTTTCAAATAATGCTATACTGCTTCTTGACTAGAACCAGGTACCTTATAAGAGAGTATTCCCAATTTCTGCCTCCTGTTTCTTATGAAATTGCTGCCATCCATTCATTTATCCATTATTTACCATCACCAATTGAATTTTTCCTATTATTATTTGGAACAAAATATCCGTAAGAACAGTGAAGAATAAAAAATTTAAGTATGTTATTTTACCTTCATTTATTCCTTCTCTAACACTTTTCTTTGTGTAGATTTGAGTTTCTTACCAATATCATTTTTATTCTCTCTGAAGAACTTCTTTTAACATTTCTTGCAGGGCAGATCTACTGGCAACAAGGTCAAGTTTTGTTTACCTTTGAAAGTCATTATTTCTCTTTTACTTTTCAGGCATAATTTCAATCGATACCGAATAATTTCCCACCAACACTTAAATATTTCTCTCCTGTCTCCTGGCTTGCATGGCTTCTGAAGAGAAGTCTGATATAATTTTTATAAGAACTCCCCTACAAATAAGGTGCCCCACACAGCTTCCTTCAAGATATTTTCTATGACTTTGATTTTCTGGGATGTGAATATGATATACTCAGGTGTCAATTTCTTGATATATCCCCCGCTTTGGATGTCGTCTGACATTCCTGGATCTGTGGGGTGGTGTGTGTTAAAATTTCTCAAATAAAATATTTAAATATTTCTTATTTCTCTCTATCCATTGTTCTTTCTTCTCCTACTATTCTCTTTACAAAGATATTACACCTTTTGTTCTATAATTTCTGGATATTCTCGTTTTCTTCAGTCTTTTTTCTCTTGCTTTTTAGTTTGACAAGTTTGTATTAACATATCTCTAAGCTCACAGATTCTTTCCTTGGTTGTCTCCAGTCTATTGATAAGCCCATCAGAGGCATTCTCCATTTATGATAGTTTTATTTTTAGCATTTTCTTTTATTCTTAGAGTTTCTCTCTGCTTACCTCATTCGTCAGTTCTTGCATGCTGTCCACCTTTTTCATTAGATCCATTAAAACATTTATCATCACTGTTTGAAATTCCTTGTCTTATAATTCTAATATCTCTGCCATATCTGAGCCTGGTTCTGATGCTTGCTCTGCTTTTCAAACTGTGTTTTTGTCTTTTAGTATGCCTTGTAATTTTTGTTGTTGGTGAAGGCCAGCCACTATGTACTAGGGAAAAAGAACTGAGATAAATAGGCCTTTAATGTGAGGTAATATAATTATCTAGCTGGCAGGTAGGCTATGTTTATTGTTTGATGCTCGTGGTAGGTGTCAAAGGCTAAGACGTTTAGTGATCCTCTGTTCCTCTGGGATTTGACCTTCACAAGTGCTTCTCAGTGAACTTTTTACTTGTTACATAGGAGGATGTTAGAGGGTGCTTGGGTTGGCTAATGTTTCCCCTACTGCCAAAGACTAGAGGGGGCTAGATTTGGGAATTTCCCTTCCCCCAGGCAGGTTAAACTCTGGTAGAACCTGAGATGGACAGGCTCTGGTAAAACAGTTTCCTTTGAACGGCACCCCTTGTCACCACTCACACAAGCCAGTGGTTTCCCACATTTGATCTGCAAAGCACACACATGAGAATACAATAAAGTAATATGAACAAAGTTTTATTATAAGTTCCATGTAAGACACACAAGGGATCTGGAAGGGAAATGGGGAGAGGGGAGCCGACTGTAGAATCAATGGGGGGTGTCCTGCCTTCACCAGGACTTACGGGAAATGAGTTGAGGGTCTCTGTCTACCATTGTGAAGACTCTGACAACTAAGGTTGGACAAGATAACAGCTTCAAACCACCCACTGTTAAGGGCAAAAATGCAGGGAAGAGCATGGGAAGGGAATGCTGTATCTCTGGGGCCCTAGTTTGCTCCAGGATCTCAGAGCAGAGCTAGCCTTGTCTCTCACATCTAAATGGGGCTCACGGGCCGGCCCGGTGGCGCACTGGCAAGTGCGCCACTTGGGAGTGCGGCGGCACTCCCGCCGAGGGTTCAGATCCCACGTGGAGACCGGTTCCCGCTCACTGACTGAGCGCGGTGCGGGTGCGGCACTGATGGTTGCGATCCCGTTACCGGTCAGTAAAATAGACAAAAAGGAAAAAAATAAAAATAAATAAATAAATGGGGCTCACATGAGGTCCAGCCTGGGTGGAATTTGCACATTGGCTACTTTTCTAGGAAGCTCTTCTCTCTGACCAGCATTCACCTCTTGGACCCCAAGGGAGTGGATTTTACCCCAGAAGAAGATGAGGATGACCTGGTATATGACCCAGGAGTTCTATGTCCCATAGCCCTGGACAGGTGAACAGGGGGCCCTAAAGGAAGAGTGGGTCCTCTTCCTTGTACCTATGTCAGAAGTGAGGCTGTCAGTGTTAGAGGCCAGCAGGGACATTCACCTAGAGAAGGCATTCCTTGCAATGGCATTAAGCCCCTGACTTGAACTTATGTGTTTGTGCTTTGGTGACCTCCTTGGGGTTTGACTAAAAGTAGCGGCAACAGCGCTCCCCCAACAGGGTTGTTCTTACTGCAACTGGGTCGCGTAGTCACCTGAGGCATTCCCTGGCTATAGGAGCCCCAGGTGTTCAGGCCCAAGCCTGCCCCATAGTGCTGTTTGGTACTCGAGGCTCCTCTCATTCCTGCAGCGATGCTGAGTGATGCAAAGGTGGAATTCAGATCTTGGGCAGTCTGTCTGCTCCTGAAACCCACTGGTGCCACTGAAACTATCTAGGTCAGTGATGCAGGCATGTGCTGCCAAATGTTGAGCAGAGCTTCCCAATGTCAGGCTGAGTACTGGTTGCAGTGCTGGGTGTGTGGGTAGCAGCTGCCAAACCAGAGGCAGTGGATGCACCAGGGAGGATTACAGCTGGGCTGGCAGCAAAGGCCACCTGACTACTGGTGTGAGTCACCAAGGTGGAAGTTGTGGATAACAAGATGCCTCAAAGCTGAGTATGTCATGTGGCCCAAAGCTGGCTGGCCTCATGTAAATATGGGGGCCAGAACTAGAGTGGCCACATCTCCAAACTGTAGAAGATGGTCTATGCTGGAGGGCTCCATGCTGCTGTCCATCAGGAGCCCCAACTATGGACTGGGCGGTGACTTTAGGGTTGACAGGAAGTCTCCAAGTTGGAGTGGGAACATAGAACATCTTTGCAGGCAGGCTAGTGGTGTCCATGGATGAGGCCCTGCTGCCCCTTGGGGGTGTCTGAAGGACCTGGCCACATAGGAAGAAATTTCCACTGGAGCCAGCAGGAGACTCCACAGGGAGAGGCTGGGAAGGGAGAGCAATGTCTGTGGGGATGATCCCCAACTCAGATACTGGCTGGGGTGCTAAGCCTGCAGATGTACTGGCAGAGGGGCTGGAACTGACTGCACGTGTAGTGGTTGTCAGGCCAGGGGAGAGGAGGGCACTAAAATCACCTGTGGTGGGGTGGGGTGGGGAGGCTTGGAGAAGGACCTGCAGGACTCTATACACATTGGGCTTGGAGACTCCAGTGTGGAGGTGCTGGGCAGGGTGCTGCAGATGTGGCTGAGGCCTGGAGATGCAAAGGGCTTCTGACCTCCCAAGCAGAGAGTTCCCTACATGGGGTTCAACATGAAGGGGGAAGGGCTACAGCAGCAGCTGTCAGAGCAGGGAGGCAGGAGTTGTGCAGTCCATGCCAGGTACAGGGGGAGGGAACAGGGACCCATGGGTTTGTGGTCCTAGTGGACAAGACAGCTCTGCCTGTGCCTGCAAATGGGGAGGCAGCAGGGCTCAGCAAGGAGAAGGAGGCTGAGGGGAGGGAGAGTGAAGAGGTGCCTGGAAAGGTCTCTGAGGAGGAGAGGAGGGGCTGCTGCCTGTGTTACCTCCCAGACACAGAGTGCATAGCGGAGGCCACTGCAGCAGACTCCAGGAGAGCCACTGGACCGAGGGAGTCCGGCTCCCTTCTGCATCGCTTGGGCTGTGCAATCATGTTGAGCCCTGCAGGGGGCACAGGCAGAGGGGCAGTCCCTGAAACAGGCAGGGGGATAGAGTGGGAAGGCTGCCTGGCCCTGCAGTCCCAGGTGGCCTCAGTTTCACCACCAATGCACAGTTGAGGTGCTGGAGCATCACCTCCTTCTCCTGGTCTAGGTCATGAGAAGTGACGTAAAAATCTAGCTGGGGGATTCAGGGGTGGCAGCATCAGAGGTCCCTCTAGCCTATGTAGCAACAGGCCCTCGAGTTGCCAGGGTCCGGCGGTGTCGGATGTGGGTGAGCAGTTCCTCGAGGTTAGTTTCTGCCCTGTTATTGCATCTACCACTTTTCACCTGGAGTCTTCCTCTGGGAAACCTCTGCCGATGAAGAGGGAGGCTGAGGGCCCTCCTTTCTCACTTCCTTTGAGGACCTGTCATGCAGCCTGCGGTGAGATGTGGCCTGAGCCCTCCTTCTCTGCAGCAGTGGGAAACCTCGAGTAGGGCTGTATGAGCTGAGGATGGCATTTTACTTGGGGCAGGAGCTTATAGAAGAGGTCTGAGGTGTCTTGTTGTATCTGAATTCCCAGCACTCTGCCTGGAGGATTCTTTCTGGGCAGGAAGGGAGAGAGGGCTCCGTGGACACTTCAGTGCCTACATACTGACTGTGCTGCCCAGTGGGTTCGAGTCCCCTTTCTCTTGTTTTCCACTTTCTCTAGGAATGTGGGTCTTTCCGCTTCTCAGCCGTCCCTTTACTGGTCTGTCCAAGGTCCCTCCACAGAATCTTCTGTGTGCAAGTGTTTTGGACACACCCGGGTGTTTCAGACCACACAGGGGTGCCAGTTCTGCTCCCATACAAAGCTGTCAGTATGCCCAGTACACTGACTGAGCTGTAGGACATCATGGAATAGCCAGTAGGTAGCACTAGCTTCCTCTGATGGTAATGCCTGTAGATTGAACTTAAGTCCCAAAGAAAAGAACACAATGTCTGCAGGACCATGGAATTTCTCCTTGCAGATACTTCCACAAATCACTGATAAAAAGTCTCTGGTTACTTATAGGATGATGTGCAAGTCCATCCAGAGTTACGGGCAGCTGCATGGGCCAGGCCAGCCATAGGAACCCAGTAGGTGCGGTGAGCAGGCTCCCGTTGTTCAAGTCCTTCTGGCTGGTCCTTGTGTCGCAGGGCCGGGGGCAAGGTTGAGCTTGCCCAGGTATCTGACCATGAAAGAGTGGATAAGTTTGTATGTTTCGATCAGAGAGCTGAGCTCTGAAAGTCGTCATTTAACTGCCAACTCAGCTAAGTGAGATGCACGATATGTTTGGCCTCAGTCTCATTCCCAATGCACACTTGAGGTGGTAGAACGTCACCTCCCTCTCCTGGTCTAGGTCATGAGGAGTGACGTAAAAATCTAGCTGGGGGACTCAGGGGGTGGCAGCATCAGAGGTCCCTCTAGCCTATGTAGCAACAGGCCCTCGAGTTGCCAGGGTCTGAATCTGTCGTATGTGGGTGAGCAGTTCCTCGAGGTTAGTTTCTTCCCTGTTATTGCATCTACCACTTGTCACCTGGAGTCTTCCTCTGGGAAACCTCTGCAGATGAAGAGGGAGGCTGAGGCCCCTCCATTCTCACTTTCTTTGAGGACCTGTCGTGTAGCCCAGGGTGAGATGTGGCCTGAGCCCTCCTTCTCTGCAGCAGTGGGAAACCTCGAGTAGGGCTGTATGAGCTGAGGATGGCATTTTACTTGGGGCAGGAGCTTATACAACAGATCTGGGGTGTCTTGTATATGAATTCCCAGCACTCTGCCTGGAGGATTCTGTCTGGGTAGGAAGGAAGGGAGGGCTCCGTGGACACTCCAGTGCCTAAAAACTAACTGTGCACCCCCAGTGGATTCAAGGTCCAGTCTCTGATCATCGTGCTTCTCTAGGAATGTGGGTCCTTCCTCCTGCTCAGCTGTCGCTTTACTGGTCTCTCTGAGGTCCCTCAACACAATCTTCTCTGTGCAGGTGTCTTGGACACACCCGGGTGTTGCAGGCCACAGAGGGGTGACTGTTCTGTTCCCGTACAGAGCATCACTGTGCCCAGTACATTGGCTGAGCTGTAGGACATTGTGGAATTGCCAATAGGTAGCACTAGCTTCCTCTGATGGTCATGACAGTAGATCGAAGTGAGGACCCACAGAAAAGAACACAGTGTCTGCAGGACCATGGAATTTCTCCTTGCTGACGCTTTCACATACCGCTGATACAGTGTCACCGGTTACTTATAGGATGGTGTGTAAGTCCATCCCGAGGTATGGGAGCTGCATGACCCAGGACAGCCATGGGAACTCAGCAGGTACCGTCAGCAGGCTCTAGTTGCCTAAGTCCTTCTGGAGGGTCTTTGCCCCCTGGGGCCGGGGGCAGGGGTGAGCTTGCCCAGGCAACTGCCCATCATGGCCATTGGGTATGTTTGCATGCTTGGATTAGAGAACTCTGCTCTGAGAGTCCTCCTTTAGCTGCCAACTCAGCTAAGTGAGAAGCATGGAATGTTTGGCCGGTTGCTGGGATGCACCTTTGGAATGTGTGAGAGAACAATGGGTGCGTGTGTGCAGAACGTGCAAGTAAGCACACGTGTAATGGATACATGAGGACAAGGTGTGCACTGGACATAAGCTAGGAGTGAGCGTTCCGAAGATTCTGGAGGTAGAAATGTGGCCCAAATGAAGCTGGAGCGACAGTCACATGTGGACACTCCGAGGCTTCCCTGTCTCCTGTTGAGGGTTGAGGTTGCTCGACTTGAGGGCAATAAATGAAATAGGATGGCCACGGCCCCTTTTCCCCCTGGTCGGGTCCCAGAGATTTCAGGGCAGTGTCCTGGAGCAGGTCCCTGCGCAGCAGAGGGGGACATCCTAGGGAGCAGAGTTCGTGGCTGAGCATCTCCTGCAGGAGGTGGCAGCTTTGTGGTCAGAGCCTATGTGTCCTCCTGCCCTTACCCTGGGAATGGTGGAGCAGAGAGCCGCCAACAACAGAAGTGTGGGCATCACCTAGTTCCTGCTGGGGTGGCAGCTGAGGTGTCTGCCAGGGCAGGCTGGGAGGGACATAACATGTGACGCTCAATCCTATTAGGTTTTCAGCCAAGAGAAATACAAACTCATTAAGGATATCTTTGCTGCATATTTTATCCTGGGTTGATAAGTCCTTTCTTTCAGTGCTTTGAAGATGCTATTCTACTCTCTTCTGGCCTCATTACACACACACACACACACACACACACACACACACACACACGTGTATATATATGTGTATATATATATGGTTGCAGCATCAAACTGGATATAAGACTAGCCACTTACTTTGTATTCCAAACATTTGTAGATTTATTACCACATCAGGAAATATCCCCTGGATCATATATTTAAGGCGTACATATGGAATGTACTATAGTACATATGGTATGTACTATAATGTATGAAATGCTCACCTTGGTTTTGGAGTTCTAGCATTTGCCTAGTTCTGCAGCTTCATGTCTCCGTCCAACCATCCCTCTTCTCTTAGGTGTGCCCCGCGCTGCCCCCACCTTTTCACTGGCCAATGCCTTTCCCACTTCATGTGGCCATTTCTTGTTCAGGGAAACCTCTCTGGCCTTCAGACAGCAGCACCTGCATCTCACCTGTTCTGTCACCCCTCCTGTCCCTGCTTCCCCTCTCAGCAGGAGCCCCAAGGGGCAGAAGACTTGTCAGTCTTTGTGCACAACTGAATCCCCAGTGCTCACTGCAGATTGTGGCATCGGGAGATGCTCATTAAATTCTGTTGAATGAATATGTGTGAATGCTAAGGCCTGAGAAAGAAAGGCAGCCCTGCCATTGAGAAATGGGTCTGATGGTCAAAGACTGGCCATGTTGTCCTGATGAACACACCTGACCTAACAGAACGTCAACATTTGATGAGGTCACTGTTATGGACTGAATGTCTGTGTCCCCAAAACACATAGGTTGAAGCTCTAATCCCCAACATACTGGAATTTGGATTTGGGTCCTTTGGGAGGGAATTAAAAGTATATGAGGTCATGAGGGTGGAACCTCCAGGACAGCATTAGTGTCCTTGTAAGAGAAAGGAGGCACCAGAGTTTTCTCTCTCTCCTCCATGGGAGGACGCAGCAAGTAGGTGGCTGTCTGTAAGCCAGGAAGACGGACCTCACCAGGAGCTGAATCTGCTGGCTCCTTGATCTTGGACTTCCCAGAAATAAATTTTTATTGTCTAAGCAATCTAAAGGTTTTTTGTTATTGTTTTTTATATTTTTATTATTTTTTTAATTTTAACATTTACTTGCACATGTTTGTGGGGTACGTGTATGTATTGCACAATGATTCACTTAGGGTAGATAGCATAGTTTTGTGCCCATTATTCCACCACCTCCCCCGCCAGCCAATTCCCATCCCCTTCCCAGACTCTGGTAACCATTATTCTACTCTCTACTTCTATAAGAACCACTTTTTTTTTTTTTTAGAATTCCACATATGAGTTGGATCATGCAGTATTTATTTGTCTTTCTGTGCCTGACTTATTTCACTTAATGTTATGGTTTCCAGTTCCATTCAGGTTGCTGCAAATGATAGGCTATCATTTCTTTTTAGAGCTAAATGTTATTCCATTCTGTGTATATACCACAAGTTTCTTTCATTTGTTAATCCCGTGATGGAGAGTGAGGTTGATTCCATCTATTTGTTATTATAAAGAGCGTTGTGATGAACATAGGAGTGCAGGTTTCTTTTAAACATAAAGTCAGTTCGTTGTAAGCATGCAGGTTTATTTCTGGGCTCTCTATTCTGTTCCATTGGTCTATTTGTCCAATTTTATGCCAAAACCATGCTGTTTGGGTTACTGTAGCTATATAGTATATTTTGAAGTCAGAAAGTGTGATGCCTCTGACATTGTCTTTTTGTTCGAGGTTACTTTAGCTATATGGGGTCTTTTGCGGTTCCATAGAAATTTTAAGATCATTTTTTCTATTTCTGTGAAGAGTATCATTGGTATTTTGATAGGAATTGTGCTGAATGAGAAGATTGCTTTGAGTAATATGGACATTTTGATGATGTTAATTCTTCCAACCCAAGAACATGGAATATTTTTCCACTTATTTGTATCTTCAATTTTTTTCACCAATGTTT